AATAACTAACAAAATATTCCTCCCATAAACTAATTAATTAACAAAGAAAATATTTAACGCCTAAAATTAAATCTAGTTAACCCTGTACTCTAAATACTAGTACTCTAAAAATATTACTAGTACTCTAAAAATATTACTAGTACTCTAAAAATATTACTAGTACTCTAAAAATATTACTAATACTCTAAAAATATTACTAGTACTCTAAAAATATTACTAATACTCTAAAAATATTACTAGTACTCTAAAAATATTACTAATACTCTAAAAATATTACTAGTACTCTAAAAATATTACTAATACTCTAAAAATATTACTAGTACTCTAAAAATATTACTAGTACTCATAAAATATTACTAGTACTCTAAAAACAATACTAGTACTCTTAAAATATTACTAGTACTCTTAAAATATTACTAATACTTTAAAAATATTACTAGTACTCTAAAAACAATACTAGTACTCTAAAAACAATACTAGTACTCTTTAAATTAGTACTCATTAAATATTTCACGAGTCTTTAACACTGAAAAATATCACTGTATAAATATATATCGAAGAGGAATATTTGGACAGAAACATTGTGTGTGTTAGAAGGTTCTGTCTCTGTCTTCCTCCCTCCATCTCCCAGTTGTAACCTAAACTAACCTAACCCCTCCCTCAGATAGTTATAATGGGCCCTGGATGTTTAGACACACACAAACACACATACACACGATACTTGTTGAGTGTATGTGTATTAATAGATCTTTTGGTGTCCAGTCTCTCTCTCTCTCCAGTAGACGGGGAGAGCTGTCACGAGCCATTACACCTAAGATATGGCTTCTTGTGTACTGTCTCTCGGCCTCCTCAGACCTCTCCAGACACACTCCCTCCCTCCCTGACCTCACACCCTCTCACGCCTTCCAAACAAACATAGGCCTACTCTTCCCTCTTTCCAAACACACATAGGCCTACCCTTCCCTTCCTTCACACGTACCTACCCTCCCACACACCCTCAGTCTCTCTCTCTCTCTCTCTCACCAACACGTAGAGAGAGAGAGAGAGAGATAATTATACCTGTAGTTCTGTAATCACTGTAACTGACTTGTCTCAACCCTGTAATTTAACCTGTAATTAACTGACCTGCCTCTGTAACGTAACCTGTAATTACCTAACATATCCCTGTAACTTTCAGTGAGTTTACATGTGCCATGAGGTGCCATATGGTGCCATGAGGTGCCATATGGTGCTATGTAGTGCCATGAGGTGCCATATGGTGCTATGTAGTGCCATGGTGCTATGTAGTGCCATGAGGTGCCATATGTGGTGCCATGGTGCCATATGGTGCTATATGATGCCATGAGGTGCCATATGGTGCTATGTAGTACCATGAAGTGCTATATGTGCTATGTAGTGCCATGAGGTGCCATATGGTGCCATAAGGTGCCATATGGTGCTATATAGTACCATAGTACTATATGGTGCACTATGTAGTACCATGAGTGCCCATATGGTACCATGAGAGGTGCCATATGGTGCCATGAGAGTGCACCATATGGTGCTATGTAGTGCCATGAGGTGCCATATGGTGCTATGTAGTACCATGAAGTGCTATGTGGTGCTATATGAGTACCATGAGGTGCCATATGGTGCTATGTAGTGCCATGAGGTGCCATATGGTGCTATGTGGCACATGAAGTGCTATATGGTGCTATGTGAGCATGAGTGCCATATGGTGCCATGGTGCCATATGGTGCTTATATGAATGCCATGAGGTGCCATATGGTGCTATGTAGTACCATGAAGTGCTATATGGTGCTATGTAGAGCCATGAGGTGCCATGTGGTCTATATAGTGCCATGAGAAGTGGTCGACAAGACAAGTGGGTTATTTTAAGGTGCCAGACCATGGATTGGCACTCTCCTTGTGTGTGTGTGTGTGTGTGTTTGTGTGTGTGTGTGTGTATGAGTATGCATGTATGTATAGTCATGCGCGCATTCAGTTCAGTGATGTGGGTTAGGTTAGGTTAGCTCACCACGTGGCTGAGACTCGTAGACCGTACAGTATTTCCGTGAGGTCTTCCACATTCTCTCTCTCTCTCTCTCTCTTCTCTTTATTACCTCAAGAGAGAAATATCTCGCTGTGTGTGTGATAATAATAATAATTAAAGGTTTATTGAAAGAACATGACAGCCAGAAGGGTGACAATATACAGTTACATAATTGGTGATATGGGTCACTTGATTGACCAATAATATAAGTGATACAAATATAATAACTAGGTGGGGAGAAGGTCATACTACAGGCCAGTTCAACATAGTGACTGTACAAAAGGTAGTGGGGAGAAGGTCACACTACAGGCCAGTTCAACATAGTGACAGTACAAAAGGTGAGTGGGGGAGGTCATGCACAGGCCAGTTCAACATGGTGACCCAGTACAAAGGTAGTAGTGGGGGGAGAAAGAGGTCATACTACAGGCCAGTTCAACATAGTGACTGTACAAAAGGTAGTGGGGAGAAGGTCACACTACAGGCCAGTTCAACATAGTGACAGTACAAAGGGTAGTGGGGAGAAGGTCATACTACAGGCCAGTTCAACATAGTGACAGTATAAAAGGTAGTGGGGAGAAGGTCATACTACAGGCCAGTTCAACATAGTGACTGTACAAAAGGTAGTGGGGAGAAGGTCATACTACAGGCCAGTTCAACATAGTGACAGTACAAAAGGTAGTGGGGAGACGGTCATACTACAGGCCAGTTCAACATAGTGACTGTACAAAAGGTAGTGGGGAGAAGGTCATACTACAGGCCAGCTCAACATAGTGACTGTGCTGCATGCTGTGTGGGGAGAAGGCCACTACAGGCCAGTTCAACATAGTGTCAGTAATAAAAAGGTAGTGGGAGAAGGTCACATACAGCTGCTGGGGTTCAATAAGCAGTGACCGGTACAAAAGGTAGTGGGGGAGAAGGTCATAATTAATAGCCAGTTCAACATAGTGACAGTACAAAAGGTAGTGGGGAGACGGTCATACTACAGGCCAGTTCAACATAGTGACAGTACAAAAGGTAGTGGGGAGACGGTCATACTACAGGCCAGTTCAACATAGTGACTGTACAAAAGGTAGTGGGAGAAGGTCATACCACAGGCCAGTTCAACATAGGACAGTGCAAGAAGTGAAGTGTTTACTGGGAGTGAATACACTGGTTTATTACAAGTTGTTGATAATTTTTACAATGGTTGGGACTGGGCTGTTCTTATAGCGATCAGTTCGTGCACGTATGGGCTGGATGCGGTTGTGGTGTCGAACAGCAATTCTCGGGCTAGGGATCTCAGGTGGTAGTAGGAGCCGGTGTCGAGGATGGTGTAGAAGCTTCTTACCAAATTTGCAGATGAGGTCGTGGTGATGGTCAGTGAGAGTCGAGAGGGTCAGTGTGTTGAGCGCTTCTTGATATGTGGAGTAGGAAGGGGAGAGAATAATCTTGCATGCCCTCTTTTGCACTTTTTTCTAGGTGTTTACGTTGTGTGGCATTTAGGGAGGAAGACCAGGTGGGGGAGGCGTAGGTGAGCTTGTGTGTGTGTGTGTGTGTGTGTGTGTGTGTGTGTGTGTGTGTGTGTGTGTGTGTGTGTGTGTGTGTGTGTCAGACTGTCACTCACTCACACAAAACACCACAACCAGAACAAGGTGTCAAATGCCTTAACATAAACAACTAAGTTTTTTCTCACTCAAACAACAACAACGGCAGTGACAAAAGGCTGGCGAACGTCTGCCTGGCGAAGACATTATCACTTGTGTATATTGTAAACACCTTTTTATTTTATTTTATCTATTTAGTGATGTTAATGACAGGAGGTTGGCGAAAGTCTGCCTGGCGAAGCGTTCATTAGCTGTGTATGTATGTCCACACACACACACACACACACACACACACACACACACTACACAACCCGGAAACAAAACATAACTTGATGGAGATATAAAGAGTTGCCAAGATCCTTCAGTGATATATGATGAACAGAGAGAGAGAGAGAGAGAGAGAGAGAGAGAGTAAACAAACAAACAAACAAACAGCAGCTGCCTTGTTTATTATCGACAGTAAACAAAATAATCTCTTGTTTAACGAGGTAGTTTGTGTTGTTTAACGGGCTAGTTAAATTTGAGGTCCCCGGGGGTCAGGTAAGGTCATGCCCTAAACACTTAAAGGCTTCCTGGTATATTAAGGTCAAGGCTATTTCAGGGTTGAGTTAGGGGGCTAGTTTATTGAGCACCACCTTGCGTCCAATAGGGAAGCAATGCTGAGTCTATGCTTGCGTTGTTGACTCTTGCATTAAGGGCGTAAGTGCCTGAAGGACTGTGACAAGTGTGTGTGTGTGTGACAAGGTGGTGGTGGTGGTAGTGGTGATAGTGGTGATTGTAGTGGTGATTGTAGTGGTGATTGTAGTGGTGATAGTGGTGGTGATAGCAAGGACACATTCCACCACACACTTGGCACACATCACAACCAATGGCCACTTCTCTCTCTCTCTCTCTCTCTCTCTCTCTCTCTCTCTCTCTCTCTCCTTCCTTCGCCAGCGCCGCCGTAACTGAACGCCAGGGTAGGGAGAGCAGAGAGGGTGTTAGGTTAGAATTCTTCACATGATTTACTTATTCATCGGTAAGGTTTGGTGGTGTTGGATGGAAGGTCAGGTCAGGTCAGGTCAGTTTAGGTCAGGTCAGTTTAATTTAGGTCAGGTCAGTTTAATTTAGGTCAGGTCAGTTTAATTTAGGTCAGGTCAGTTTAGTTTAGGTCAGGTTTAGGTTAGGGTTAGGTTAAGGTTAGGTTAGTTTTAGGTTAGGGTTAGGTTAAGGTTAGGTTAGTTTAGGTTAGTTTTAGGTTAGGTTAAGGTTAGGTTAGTTTAATTTAGGTCAGGTCAGTTTAGTTTAGGTTAGGTTTAGGTTAGGTTAGTTTTAGGTTAGGGTTAGGTTAGGTTTAGGTCAGGTTAGGTCAGGTCAGGTTGGTGACAGTTGACCTCCACACACAGATTCGCCCAAACACACGTCACGGGGGATGCGTGGTCTACGTGGTGCAGGAGGGTCACCCCGCAGGTCACGTCGGCGGCAGCTTCAGCGCCCTCAGGAGGTGGTGGTGGTGAGGGAGGCCACCAACTACACCCTTGGCCTTGATCCTGAGTTGGCCAAGTTACAGGTATGTTGGCCATGTTACAGGTATGTTGGCCATGTTATAGGTATGTTGGCCTTTTTGTTGGCCATGTTACAGGTATGTTGGCCAAGTTACAGGTATGATGGCCTTCAGCCTTCCATTCCATCCCATTCCAGTCCATCCCGACGTTCCTGCCGATCATGAGAGGGGCGCTGACTGCTCCCTTCGCCCGAGACCCCGAGGTGTTAGAACGGCTTGACGCTGGGGCTATGGTGGCCCTGTGTCGACGCTATCAGACCCACCTGCACACCGCCGCCGCCACCACCACACACTACCAGGATAACCTCTCTACCAAGATTAGGGATGTAAGTAGGTTAGATTTGTGCCTTACCCTACCCTAACCTAACCTACCCTACCTTACCCTGCCCTAACCTAACCTACCCTACCCTACCCTACCCTACCCTACCCTAACCTACCCTACCCTACCCATGGTAATAATATGCTCACATTTGTATCAATCTGGCTAAATAAACTGTAACATTTCTGTAACTGGTTCAGACACGTTACATAAATAGTTCAGTAGAATATAACCTGAGTTTTGTTACATAATTCAGAATATTTGGTAGTAAATTTTTGCCGGTAATTATGATCGTATTTTCGTCTTTGTTAGTGATTATGTAATTTGTTTGTTTATTAAGGATATATATATATTTTTTTATCTGCCTCCCTCCCTTGTCCTCTGTCGCTTGTTTTAATATCTGTCTTCTGTCTTTCTGTCTTTCTGTCTTTCTGTCTGTCTGTCTGTCTTCATCTCCCTCCTCCTCTCTCTGTTCCTTTCTTTCTTTGCCATCTCTCTCTGGACTTCCCTTCCTCCCTCTCTCACTCTTGTCCCTACCCTCTCTCTCCCTCCCTCCTTCCTTCCTGTCTCTCTCTCCCTCCTGTCTCTCCCTCAGGTGGACGCCACAGTTAGCGGGTTGGTCTCCCAGATGACAGACAGACAGAGGAGTTTCGCCAGGTACGCCGAGAAGTTGGGACAGGTGACGGAGGTGAGCCACGCCCTCATCCGCTGCCACGCCTCCCTCAACCTTATACTAGAGAGCCTCGAGACCCTAAATGATTCACTGCCCATCCACGATAGATTAGAGCCTTTTGTCTGGACCACTGGTTGAGATGGGGGGAAGGAGGGTAGAAGGAGAGGAAGAGAGGAAGAGGAAGAGAGGAAGAGGAAGAGGCCTTGAACCCCATCCTCTGAGCTGGGGGGAAGGAGAGGAAGAGAGGAAGAGAGGAAGAAGCCTTGAACCCCATCCTCTGAACTGGAGGGAAGGAAAAATAGGAAGAGG